TAGAAATGGAAAAAGGATGAAATTAGGGGAATCAGCAGCTTACGCTAACGTCCTCGGCCGAGCGGAAGCGTTTTGGGGACGGATCCCCAGATCCCTGCCCCGACTCGTCTGGGCGGGACCATTTCGAGCCTGCCCCCTGCTCTGAGGTAAGGGGGCTCATCTCCCTCACCTCGTGGGGGCGGCACCAGAGCCACTCCCCTCCATCATCTCATGGGGCGCGGCACCAGCGCCGCCCCTCTCGACCATCACCTCGGGGTCAGCGACGGCAGACCCGCTTTCCCCCATCCACCGATCCTCGACCGGCACGCCGTGCGAAGCGGTGGACTCTCCGGCCTCCACTGACTCACTTCCCTCCACGTGGAATGGGAAGGGTCCCTGCACAGACGGGTGGGCACTTGTCAGTGTGTCCTCGTCCTCCAGGACGCCCCAATCCACGTTGACGACTACCTCGTCGTCATCATCATCGTCGTCGTCGTCATCATCACTGCTCACGTCCTCTTCCCAATCCCGTGCTTCCTGCTTCAGTCGTCCCTCCTTCTTCATCTGCTCCCTTGCCTTCTTGTCCCACTCAGCCGCGAGGCGATTCGCCGCCGCCATGGCCTTGTCCTTTGGCAGCGGAACCAGACTGTCTTTGAAGACTAGCCCCCCCGGCTGGTCCCAACGTTGCAAAAGCAAGTATCAAAAAAGATGAAGATTCAGGAAAAAGAAAGAGCACGGGAGAAGAAGGCTTACGAATTCGAATAACCCAGGTTCTGGCCGCATTGGGGGATGTCCGGGCACCGGATACACAATGTCGAGGACGCCGCCTTTGGAATCCTTCATTGGCTCCGTCGCCTCCTTAATGCGCTGTGCCACTTCCGAGAAAGGGAGCGCCTCGTCAACAAGCACCGTCCCCTCGAACGATATCCCGGGCATCGTCCGGTAAAGGGGAAGCATGCGCATCATCAGCGGCGCCACCCTCCTCGCATGATAGGCACCGATGATTCCTGTCCCCTTTACGCCCTGTTCCTTCAGAGCTTGGAGGGCAGAAAGAAGGTCGGAAAGGTGTTTCTTGTCTTTGGACTGGACACCCCAAGCCCATGACCCCGGAGCCTCTTCAATAAGGCACCCGGTGTACCTCGGCAGGGTGGCACTCACATCATCCCTGACATAAAACCACTGCGAGTGCCATCCCTTGTTAGACGTCGCTAGACGCATGAACGGGTAACCCCTCGACTGGGTATGACGCAGATGAACACTGGCACATCCCATCGGCACGCTCACATCCTTCCCCCCAATCTTCCTCTTCGACAAACTGACGGTAAAGAAATACCGCCACAGATCAAAATGGGGATCGATCCCCAGGAAACCCTCACACAGGGCAACAAACGCCGCCATATGTTGAACCCCGTTGGGAGTAAGATGTTGTAGCTCCACCTCATAGTAATCCAGCAGCCCCCGAAGGAATCTATGCGCGGGTACTGCAAATCCCCGCTCATGAAAGATGGCAAAAGATACGACATACCCTTCGGGCGGCGTCGGCTCACCCTCGTCACCAGGTATCAGCCACTCCTGGACGGCGGACAATGGACGGAGAAGGCCACGGCGGACGAGGCCCTCCAAACGCCGAGAGGTGATGCTAGATCTGCACCACAACTCCATTAAAGCGATTGGGGAGAAGGTGGGCGCAAGCTCGACGGCGGCTACAGGACAGGCGCAAGCTTGACGGCGGTTGCAACATGGACGCAAGCCGGTCGACGGTGGCGGTGCGGGCATAGGAGGCTGGGGCGATTGGTGGCGGATGTCTCAGACGCAAAGGCAAGGGGGCAAAATACGGAACCTTGGGGGCGAACCCCGTGGTTTTATAGGGGCGACGGGTGCGAGAAGGGCAACCGTCCGCCTCGATCTCTGGGCCTGCCACGCGCACCACCACGTCACGTCGCGGGACACACGCCCGTAGTCCCTATCCTTTCCCATCGAAAATCACGGTGGACGGTTCGCCTTCCCCAGGCGAATCTGGACTCTCTTCCTACCTGGGGAAGGTAGGTCACAAAGATTTTTTCTATTTGGCCCACCTAGGGCCTAGAAGCTCGACGGCCGGCCCAACTAAGGGCGGGTCTGTGAACGATCCGAAATCAAGGGCGCAAGCATTACTGGGGTCTCGATTCATGGTCAAGCCCCAGTTAGGTCAGCCCTGAATGGGATCCCCGCGAACAGGATACCACGACCCCCTTGAAAAAATATCCAGTTGACGAAAAAACCAAGTCCTTCAGCCTTACCCACGAAGGGTCTGATACAACCCCCAGGCGGTTCTATCCGAATCACCTGGAGGCTCGGGGGCTACACCCATCGGGTGCGCTCGTGCGCACCCTCTAGCAAAATGACTCCGACAAAATCGAAAAACACCCTCCAGGCGTTCTATCCGAATCAACTGAAGGCTCGGGGGCTACTGTCGGGGACCTAATACCAGGGTACCCCAGAAGGTGGAACCAATAACCATCGAACGTTAAAAACTTCTGGACGGACAAGGGCGCCGCTGCGTTCCTTGCCCGAATAACGAAAGTTAGGTTCCGTCTCGCCCGACGCCTTTTGGGCCAGCCCCGCCTCGTCCGAGGACAAAGGGTTGGCCTCCGTCTCGCCCGACGCCTTTGGACCAGCCCCGCCTCGCCCGAGGGCAAAGGGCTGGCCTCTGTCTCGCCCGACGCCTTTGTACCAGCCCCGCCTCTCCCGAGGGCAAAGGGCTGGCCTCCGTCTCGCCCGACGCCTTTGGGCCAGCCCTGCCTCACCCGAGGGCAAAGGGCTGGCCTCCGTTCCGCCTGACGCCTTCGGGATAGCTCCGCCTCACCCGAGGGCTGAAGGCTAGTCTCCGCCTCACCCGAGGGCTGAGGGATACACTCCGCCTCGCCCGACCCCCGAGGGGTGGGCTTGGTCATGCCCAAGGGATAAGGACTGGGCTCTGCCTCGCCCGACGACCGAGGAAGAACCTCGCCCCGTTCGATGTCCAAAGGCTGGTTTTATCTTACCTGATAACTTCTCTCCCGTTCCCTCATGATGATGGGTACAGAGCAAGACAAGACGTTCGGGTCAACCACGGCTTCAAGGACCATACCCTGTGCCCCGGTAGGAAAGGTACTGCTAGGGAATGACTGGACAGGTGCTTTAGACCCTCCTGGGCGCTGCAGAGCCCAAAAGGTATTGCAGGCGCGTACTCCTCGCCCTGTAGAGTTGTAGGCGCCGCCTTCAGCTCTGGGACATGGAACCCGATGAAGATACACGACAACCACTACACTCCAGAAAATGATTTGTGATCTCCACGAATAACGGACATGCCGTCACCACATTATGGACCCAAGGGAGCGACGCCCGCTTCCCGACCCCTCGGGTCCACCAAATCAAAGGACCTTGCCCACAGCGCTACTCCGGACCTCGACTCCGCGTCCCTCCGATAGAGACTCATAGGAGCCAGAAGGCGTGCGGAGCAAGGCTGGGCGAGGTCCATAAGTCAAAACCACTGTACTCCAGCCCATACCCTGCGCAGGGCACTATTCTGTAACCATCCTGACATTCTACAGAAGCATAGACAGTATTGTAGGCGCTTATCATCCTTTCGCACCCATCAGAATGGGTAACGAGACTGGGTAGAAGTAAGCCACAAGGCTAGGTAGAGCACACATCATAAGCCCTGACCCTTGTAAAGCCGTCCCCTTCATCTATAAAAGGGGATGCGCTTCCTCTAGCAGTGGGGGACCGAAAAAACAACGCAACACACGCACATAGTCAAGCTGCTACCAAGCTCTTGGCTTCCTTTCGACCCTTCCATCAGAGACTTGGGGCATGTCCCTCTCTCGATCGTTTGTATCCCCTATTACGAACCATTCACGGTGCTAATAACACGAGCAGCAACAAACTGGACGTAGGGATATTCAGCCCGAACCAGTATAAATCTTGTGTCCTTTAGCGCACCATCCAAACCTAACACGCATTTTTATAAATTTACTTGCCGGTGCTTGCACAAAACACCGACACAAGGCCTCCATGCACGACCTCGAGTACCTTAGTGCGTCCACGAAAATGAGTTGGCTCATGAAGCCTTCCTGATACAAATATATGGTGGTAACCACATATTAGGTGGAAACACATAAATTAATTTTACTGACCATGCAAAAGTTGGGATACAAACTTAAAGTAGAAAAATTCATATGAAAATGACAAATTTTAAATGCATGTGTACTTGATAGCAAAATCTCATCATTTTTGTTTGAATTTTTCAAAAGCAAGTTTGCATCTTAATTCTTGCATGTGACTACATATTTGTATTCAAATTTTATTTTTTATTTTTTAATTTTATTGAATGACCAAACTATGTTTTTTAAATTGGTTTCTATGTTCTCCTTAGTATATGGTTTTCACCATATATATTTCCCTTGTTGATGACGGGGGTGAGAAGAGAATGGGGCACAGTGAAGGTAGAGTGGCACTAGAAAAACATTTACCAATCTCAGGTCCGCGCTATCACGCGTTCGGCTTTTCGTTGAAAGCGCGAGTGACGCATAGATGGATATGAAAAACATGACGTCAGGAGCTCTTTCCAAAACATTTCCGATTTGTGATATGTCAATATTATGCCCACAGCTTCAGGTTCAACAATGAAGAATACTTGTCAGTGTGTCACCTATGACTTTTTCACACTGACATGCTTCGATTGATAGATGTAACGAGTTGTAAATATCAAGGATAAATTACAGTCAAACACATAGTGATGATTTATAACATATAAGATGAGTCATGTCAATAAAACAGGGGCTACCCTCATTGAAAATTTGACATTAAATAAACATAATATAAAGCTCAACGGGTTTTAATTTCAATTTCAATTAAGCATGGTAGCCACAATGAAATGTTGACAAGAAAAATGACATAAAGCTCAGCAAGCGATTTTTCAAGAGATATCCATTCTATGCTCAAAGGGACTAAGCTGCATGTCGATCTATTCTATTTCAAACAATTTTGTGCTAAATACATCAGTCATCGGGATCGGGGTCGGGGCTAGGCATATAGTAGTGTCGAGAATCAGCGACGTGGCCAGCAACATAGCGTGTCCCTTCTGGGTGCTTCATTGTAGGAGGACACCCATAGCAGTACTCTTTATCCATACCTGCTGTTCCCAAAGGTGGGAATACATAGTCCTTCATCTCCTCAAGGGTTTGGATACATTTGCCGCCTACAAATCAAATAATCCACAACCCATAATTTCAAATAAATGCTCCATTGCCATATATATGCACCAAATAGATTTTTAACCATTACAATGCTCAAATAGTCCTGCGTTAGATTTTCATTGTGCCACAAAAACAGAGTGTACATTTTTCAAGAATACTATGAGGAAAGCAACAAAACCTAGTAAACCATTATACAATGCGGTGGTTGAGCTAAGAACTAGTAGAATGCATAAACGATAACGAAAACATATACTGGCATTCGTGTCTTCCTGAGAAGCCAGGAAAATATGCTAATGGGGCTCTCCTATTTAGGTATAGGAGATTAATTGGTCTAATTGGAAAGAGGCCCAACAAAGTTAACTATACTCTATGTATTACTCACCTAGGGCCTAGGGGATTAAGCCCAAACAGAAATATAACACCACCAATGGAATGCTACTTCTGTATGTGCAGTTAAGCCCATGGTAGAAGGCATATGCAGAAAACAGATAACTACGTATCCTAATAACTCATCTTTTCTATAGAGTGTTAATTTGTGATGCTGCTAATCTCACCACCAGCTGTGAAATGTTAATGAGCTAGCTTCGTCAAAAATCAGAACAAATAATTTAGAAAGACACGCCCATATAAAAGGCATATTAGCCATGAATATGTATCCATCTTATAAAAGCGCATGAACCAATGAGATCACATATGGCATACCGACATCAGAAGGTGAAACGGGATGGCAACAAGTGACATCCTCCTCTTTAGGCGCAACACACGCCATGATCTCACCGAAGAAGAGCTGTGAGTGTCCTAATTTCTTGTCCCGAGCATGAAAATTTAGGTGGTAGTAGTCACTGCCATCTTGCTCTCCAACAATAATGAGCCCAAAGCCATGATCATGCTTGTGCACAAAGTCAGCCTGCGTGTAATAGAAGAGATCGATGCTTAATTGTTGTTTATAACAACTTATCATGTACAACACCAATGATGTGTGACGAAGAACGTACGAGCATAGCACTAATACACATGGCACGTCCTTCACTTAAATTTGATTGGTTTTCCCAAATTCACCTAAAACTAAGCACGGAGTATATCATGTAGGCAGCAATTTGCAATCTAAAGTTCTAAACTACTCATAGATAAAAATGTAATGCTTGGAACTGGGCTAGACAGATGAATGAGATTACCTGGTACTTTGTGTTGTAGTGCTTGATGCAAGCCTTTGCATTGTTGCAGAAACGAGTATAACAAGCAACCGCATCATCTGGAGGGAGACTACGGAAAACTTTGACGCTCAACTCTGCAATTGATGCCTCATCAGAGCTATCGTCCACGTTGTTGCTGTCACACTGATAAAAAACCCCGACCTCACACGGGGGCAGCTGGACCCATGAGCCATTCTGAGGTGGGCAGAGTGCAGCCGGCAGCTGCTTGCTTGACGACCTGTCAATCATCCAATTACAGGAGGACGTGGGTTTAGCTAGGTCAAGCATGCTGAGAGGGTTTAGTTAAAAAAGGTTGATATTGATATAAAAATAATAGCTAACTAGCGGGTATAAGAAGAATGTAGAGATTGAGGTGGATGAAGAGAAAATCAAAGTTTTGTCAAGCTACATACAGCGACGACGGCGACTTTCTCCTCATTTGGCGAGGGGTGGCATCCTCGGCCTCGTCACGAGACTTCCGTCGAAGCATCTTCAATCTACAAAATTTGCCAAGAAATTGAGCTAGATAAATTATATGACAACACTTCAACAGTAGCAAAAAATTGTTATGTCCCAACCGTCTATATAAACTGAACTATAGAGAGACTTGAAAATTAATTTGGACATGAAATTGAGTCTAACATGATGCTACTATTAGATGATCTACTGCTTCTTTATGTGAACACATAGTAAAGGAAGACGGTGCTGAAAAGACCCCCTGCTGTGGTACTGTAGCCGCTACAAAGGCAGGCGCTGAACGGCTCACCTGCCGCACTGTAGCCACATGCAGGGACAGGCGCAGAAGTCAGTCCTGCTGTGTTATCTAGTTACTGTTCCAGCATGTGCGCTGTAGTAGGACTAAATGGATAGAGTTGTATAAATAGACTGTCACGGCAACTCAGTAAATAGAGTTCAGATTTGCCATCTCCTATTCATGGCTCCGACCAACGCTAGTGCTTGTACTGTGTGTATGCTCTGTTCTCCCTCTTCTTCAACCTCTAGCCATAGTGTGTGGTCGGACAACCTCGGTCGTGGTCGGCCGTGGTCGGCAAGACTAGTGAGAGGTCGACTCACCTAAGGCGGTGATCCTGTGAGCTAACAAGTGGTATCAAAATCGTACAAGTGTCGTCGCCAGACTAATCGCTGGCGATGACGGGTGGTTCGAAAATGGGCGACAACAGTGGCACTGCTGTGGCTGCCCAGCCACGACCGGAGGTCGTTGTTCGCACGGTGCGGGAGATCAGAGGCACCAGTTGGTCGACGCTGACTCACACCAACTATGAAGAGTGATCAGTGACCATGAAGGTCAAGCTCAGAGCCCGACGGCTCTGGAATGCTATTGACAAGGGCACCGATAATGAGGAAGATGACATGTTAGCGTTTGAGGCTATCCTCGCTGCTGTACCAGCGGAGTACAGGGAGCCGTTGGGGGTGAAGAGCTCTGCTAAGGAGGCGTGGGAGGCTATTGCGGCGATGCGCATCGGTTCCGACCGCGCAAAGAAGGCGACGACCCAGCTTCTGAAGCAGGAGTACGCCAACTTCAAGTTTAAAGATGGTGAAACGGTGGAGGACTTCTCACTCCGCCTGCAGACGCTCATTAGCAAGCTGAAGAGCCATGGCGTCACCATCGACGAAGAGGAGGCGGTCTCCAAGTACCTCCACTCCGTGCCGGCAAAGTACATCCAGATCGCTCTCTCCATAGAGATGATGCTGGACTTGTCCACCCTCACCATTGAGAATGTGACAGGCCGTCTGCGGGCGATGGACGAGCGCCTGGAGCAGGCGACAGCAACGAAGGACAGCGGCAAACTGCTGCTGACGGAAGAGGAGTGGGCCGCTCGGAGGAACTCTGGGAAGACAGCCTCCTCCAGCCACGGTGGCGATGGCAAGCACCGCTGCAAGGCTTCTTCGGAGAAGAAGCAGGTCGACCCCAATGCCTGTCGGCGTTGTGGAAAGATGGGCCATTGGACACGGGAGTGCCCAAATCGCAAGCAGTTGAAGAAGGCTGAGGCTCATCTAGAGCAAGCTGCTGATGATGATGGGGCCACTATCCTGATGGCAACGTTCTGTGCACTACACGACATCGAGGCCGAGGAGAAGGAAGAGGCGACGACGGTGGAAGGACCTAGGAAGGCCCTGAAGACTGTCAACCTCGACGAACCACGCGCCCAAGTCCACCTCGGATGTGTGGGCGCCGACCAGGAGTAGCGGTGGTATCTGAACTCTAGTGCCAGCAACCACATGACGGGCTTCAAGGCATCCTTCTCAGAGCTCGACGACGATGTTACCGGTACGGTGAAGTTTGGTGATGGCTCAAGGGTGGCTATCCAAGGGCGCGACACCATCATCTTTAGGTGCCAGAACGAGGAGCACCGCGTGCTAACGGATGTATATTACATCACGCAGCTATGTTCCAACATCATCAGCATTGGTCAGCTGGATGAGCGCGGTAGCGAGGTACTGATCAAGGACGGAGTCATTAGGATCAGGGACCGGGAGCAGCAACTTCTCACCAAGGTGAAGAGGTCCCTGAACCGGTTGTACCTGCTTGATCTGAAGGTAGAGCAGCCGGTATGCCTAGCGGCAAGGCACAACGAAGAACCGTGGATGTGGCATGCCCGGTTCGAACATCTCAGCTTCGACGCGCTTGGTCGACTAGAGAAGATGGTCCGAGGGCTACCCCACATCAAGCACGGAGGCGAGCTGTGTGATAGCTGCCTGGCCGGGAAGTAGATGAGGCTACCATTCCTAAAGACGGCCAAGTATCACGCGAAGGATGCTCTCGAGCTCGTCCACGGTGACCTCTGTGGGCCGATCACGCCAGCTACAAACGGTGGTCGGCGGTACTTCCTCCTGCTCATGGATGATTGCAGTCGCTATATGTGGCTGCAACTCCTGACAAGCAAGGACGAAGCGGCGGCGGCGATCAAGAAGTTCAAGATGCACGTGGAGGCCGAGAGCGGCAAGAAGCTCCGCGTGCTGAGGACTGATCGCAGTGACGAATTTACTTCGGTGGAGTTCGCTGCGTACTGCACGGATCAGGGTGTGGTGCGACACCACACCACACCGTACTCGCCACAACAAAATGGAGTGGAGAGGTGGAACCAAATGGTGGTCGGCATGGCTCGATCCATGATGAAGGCCAAAGGCATGTCGGCAAGGTTCTGGGGTGAGGCGGTGACCACGGTGGTGTTCATCTTCAATCGCGCTCCGACCAAGGCCCTGACGGGCAAGATGTCGTTCGAAGCTTGGTATGGACGCAAGCCGAGCGTGTCCTTTCTCTGAACATTCGGCTGCATCAGCCACGTCAGGAAGATGAAGCCGATCCTCACCAAGCTGGAGGACAGGAGCACACCGATGGTGTTCCTGGGCTATGCGGAGGGTACCAAGGCGCACCGGCTCTACGACCCATGCAGAGACAAGGTGCTTGTCTCGCGTGACGTCGTGTTCGACGAGAAGGCAGCTTAGGACTGGAGCAGTCCGAGCACAGGGGAAGTGTGGGGGTATTAACCCCCATACCCTTACGGCTAGGTTTGGGCCGGCCTGGACCAGGGGGTCCGGTCCATCAGAAGATGACGCGCGGCCTAGCCGGTCTGCTCGGAGTCCTGCGCAAGGAATGAAGGCAGACTTGAAGATCAAGCAAGATCCTGGTCGGTTAGAATAGGAATCCTTATCCGGCCACCTATGGCAATTGTAACCGGTTAGGATTAGTTTCCAGATCTGTAACCCTGCCCCCCAGACTATATAAGGCGGGCAGGGGACCCCTCTCAAGAACAATCTCATTGACATACAGCAATACAATCAGACGTAGGACGTAGGTATTACGCCCTCACGGCGGCCGAACCTGGATAAAATCTCGTGTCTGTCTTGCGTCACCATCTCGTTCGTAGCTTGCGCACCTGTCTGCCGATAATCTACTACCTTGGGCATACTCCTAGGTAGACTGCCGACCATATTTCCTCGACAGTGGCGCACCAGGTAGGGGGTGTGCGTACTACTCTCCAGACGAATAAGATGGTCATCATCCCCGGCTCCATGGCTACGCCGAACAGCCTCACGTTCACCATCGGCCAGATCACCTGGACCACTGGCTTCGACAACTTCATCGCCATGACCACAGAGGAGGCGCAGATCCAATCTGCGTCGACCACTGCTTCACCAGCATCGGCTACGGCTCCGACCACGTTGGATCTGGCTCCGGCCACACCAGCGTCGTCTTCAGCCACGCCGACAACCCGTCGTTCGCTTCCTCGCTACAAAGGGAGGCAGATCGACAACACCGACCTGCTCGAGGAATTGATGGAATTTGAGAGAAAGAGGTGAAATTCAAGCTTACCACCGTCCACCGCAGGATATGAGGCAGGCGGTGCAGACGGGGTTGACCGTTGACGGAGGCGAAGGCGTCGATTCTGGGCCGAAACCCTAGTCCCTAGCCTAGGGTTTTCCTTGCGGCAGCGCGCGACGAAGGGTGGTGGAGTTTTGCGGCGACGACACGGGAGTCCGAGGGCGTGCAGCGGAGGCGGGCAGGAGTGGAGAGCATAGTCGGAGGACGCGATGGCGGCGGCCTCACCGACTTTTTCTATTCACTCCAATCCAATTCGGAATGACTTCGATTCGAACCTTATATGGGCCCGTTGTGCTACGAAAGGTTGAAAATACAAGTCCTGTGTACTGGCCCGGAGTGAATTTTTTTTTATTTTTAACACTTTTTTAAACTAATTTTAAATCTAATAATGTTTATTTTTTTAAAAAAACTAACACTTTTGGCCGTGTCTATTACCATGGCGTGACGAAACGCCTATGTCGTGTCATACATAGTGACGCGACGAGAGGATGACGTGGCAACGATCGGGACAACTGACCGGATCTCGGCGCTGGCGCGCCCGGGCCGAGGATGATGAGGCCATCGATGGCGACCTGATTGACACGCCAACGCCGGACGCCGCAACGGGCAACGGCACGGCACCGCCAGATCGTCGGGGCACGCTGCTGCATGGGAACGCGGCCCTAGGGCAGGACAGGATAGGACACAAGACGTGAGACGAGACGGGCTCACGCACCAAAGCCTATGCCGATGGACGCTGACTGTCGGTGCACTGTAGCCACGTTGTCGGTGGACGCCATACCCTGGCCTCTGCTCGGTTTGCATGGCACTCCATTGACAGCATCACGAGGCCGTGTCGGTTAAGGTTGCTCAAATTTAATTAAGTTTATAGCATATAATATTAATATTTATATTTATAAATAAATTTATTATAAAAATATATTCTATAACTAATCTAATAATACTAATTTTGTATTAGAAATGTTAGTATTTTTTTATATAACTTTGGTTAAAGTTCAAATTAATTGATTTTTTAAGAAGCAAGAATTACATTATTTTGTGGACGGAGATAGTAAACATTAATAGTTTTTATATATGTATATATCCAATGACGTAGACGGAGGGAAGTATGAACAGTAGTTAAACGACCCCTACTCCCCCGCTGA